AAAAAGTTTATTACTTTGGCGAACGTAAATGGTTCCGTTACCGGGATAGATAATCTATTCTTTTTAAGTTACATTTTATCTGTTGTTATCATCATGTCACATGACAATAATAACAGTGAAAACACCTTGGGGAACCGTGACAATCAAATGCATCAAGATCAAGGAGATTTGCAGAACTTTAACGCGGTTCCTGCCCTTCAGAATTCACCACGTCAATCTCGTGAAGGCACTCCTAAATCACATTCTGATGAGCAGGAGCAATCAGAACATTTTGAGGGACCAGAAGAAGCTCTGCAAAGAATAATTGATGCACGGGTTAACCAAGCTCTTCAAGCGCTAGTTAACCGGTTACCTGCTGCGCCGTCCACACCTTCGCCTAATAACAATTTGCTGGAGAATCCTCGTTCTGGCCTTGTTAATTCAAACGAAGGAACCCTCATTGAACCACGAGAAATGAATCCAGGTAATACAAATAATTCTTATTTATACAATTTGGTACTAACTTTGCAGACACAGCTCAAAGAACAAAACGAACGCATCGAGCAAATCCCTGGAGTTCCCCCAATAATCAAAGGAATAGATGCGGATAAATATTCACAACAACCTTGGAAACCGAGTGTTGTGCTCCCGACTTTCAATCCCTAAAAAGTTTAAAATGCCCGACATCTCAAAATATGACGGCACACACGCGATCCACGTGACCAATGTGACACGCATTTACTACAGGGGTCAAGGAAATGATTTAACTAAGCAGGGATTGAGTCCGTGTTGGTCAAGAATTGGTGAAACACTAACCAAGGGTGCATAACCTGGTATTCTCTTTTGCCTGAAACTCTATAAACTCTTTTGCTGAGCTTGCAGATTCTTTCATTAAGCGCACTCAGGAGCACAAAAGGTTGAAAAAAGAATGGAGGAAATCTTTAAAATCAAACAAGGGGATACAGAGTTGCTCAGAGATTTTGTTGATAGGTTCCAACGCGAACGAAATGACTTTAACCTCCGCGCCGGTACCAGATAATTGGGCTGCAATAGCTTTTGCGAGCAATCTGGAATGTTAAAAGTTCTGAGCCACGAGAAGACTTAAAGAAAGCCTTCGAGAGTTCCC